CGGGTCAACGTGATTTGCGCGGGAAACACGACGCGCCGACCAAAAATGTCGGCGGCGTCCACGCGGCGAACAACGACATGTACAGGTGTCGAGCATCCACGGAAGCCAGGGAGCGCGGGAGAAAAAAACCCGCGCTTCTTGCAATGTCGGTGTCGCCCAAAGATCCATGGGCCCCTTAGATGACTAGGTGAAGCGAATCTGACAACCCCATAGGGAATGTCGGCGTCGATCAACCGGGGCGTACTGTGTGCGTGACACGCGGCTCTTCACAGGTCGGGAACGTATGCGCGGGAAGTCGGCAGCCACGGCATTTCTGGAGCGAGGAACCAATGATGGGCTTAGACCACGTGGCTCCCGCGAAATCCACCGTGGAATGGCCCAGGCTTGGCCTCATTGAGTGCAGCGCGGCGTGACACTAGCCATGCATGGCTCGTGGCACGTCAGACACTGCGCCGCCGCGCGAGGACACATGCAGCGCGGCGCTTGCAAAGAGGGTTGCGTGGAGCGCGGCAGGTGCGGAGTCGCTCACAACCATACCCCTCCTTGACCGTATTGCATGCGCTCTCTGGCACTTAGAATTTTCCCCTCCCACACCATCTTAACGTGTGTGCGTTACTCGGGCGCCGACCATACGATCTCGTCGGTACAGTTCGCGTCGACCTGGCAGAGACGAAGCAGGTCGGTGTTTAGGTCGGCGACCGGTCGTCGACTTCGCCGTAGGAGGTTTTAGCGAAGCATCTCGTAAATTCGGCATAGTATCAACAGCTCTACCGACCAACCAAGACGGGACCACAGAACCTTACTGAGTCGGCGACGCATGGCCAGAGGACGGCCTAGTGCCCAACAGCCGCAACCCATCCCACCCCCTGCCGACACTGTAGACGCCGACATCAAAGCGCAGCTAGAACGTGCAGAGATCGCCGCTGAGTTAGAAGCACTTGAGAGGGAATTCGAGCTTGACGCCCGCGCAACTCATAGGGCGTACACAGCTCCCGTGACTCAGTACCGTCGATGGTGGTCCAACCTTTACCTCGCACAGGGACCACGGTAGAGCAACAAACGGGCGGCCACATGGCCGACGTCGACATGCCCGACGTTGGTCCCCCAACCGACCACAATCCGACCTCTATCCCCGAAGAGACGCTGAAGTTACTCCACGATCTTGACGCACTGACTCAGATTCCAGAAGGGGAGTTCACCAAGGACATTCTCCCACCGCCGATAGGGGAGTTTACGAAGCCAGCTAGTACGTCTACTCCGACGCAAAATGGACAGCCGGGATCTTCGTCGGTGCCGCCCGGCGCTGGAAACCAGGGTGATGACGAGGAGGAGGAAGAGAGCGACGACGAATACGACGAGCGTCCTCCGCGTAGCACGAATCCGCGCACCTTGGAAGAACGTCTCAGGCGGGAACTTGAATACATAGATGACATGCTCGAACAGGACGAGGAGGAGGACGAGCAGAACATGGCGATCAGTGGAGGGCGGCAGACTTCGTCGAGGACGACATGGTTTACGCGTGCATCGACGTGCTCATCATGGACGCCCTACGCCACTTGCAAACCTTGGAGAAAAAGAGCACGCTAAGGCTCTACACCTCGTGGATCTACCACTACAAGAGGTGGGCGGCGAAGATGCTGAAGCAGATTCGCGACAAGCTTCCCCAGGAGCACCGACTTAGACACGTCGACGAGATCGGCCACTACATCCGCTGCAACAAGAAGAAGGATTGGGACAACGAGGCCGAGGTCCCCCGGAAGTACATCTGGCTGCACAGCCTTAGGGTCACCGAAACCCGGCTGCGCGCCTACGTGAAGTTCATGAGACGTGAGTGTAAGCTCGATGCCGAGTCGATCGAGGAGGGGAACAATGCCACGCGAACCCAGCCTGTGCAAGCTACAACGGTGCACACGCTCCTCGGGCGCATAAAGGCATGCCAGACGGTGATGAGGGTGGAGGCGACGCTCTACAGGGAGAAGGAGCTGGGCATCATGCGGGAGATCTCGGTGGTCAGATCGGAGGTGCGGGTCATGGTCCGCACCAAGAACGAGAGGGACCTCAAGTAAGTTGGTCGACACCGCCAACCTCAGTCATCTGCACTTTGAAGTCGACGTCGTCAAAATAACAATACAATGTGGCTTTGTGGGCAGGAATTGCGCTGACCGGCGTCGCGGCACCATCGGCGATACCTACACCGCCGAACAGTTCCTCCAGATAATGACGAAGGGGCTGCCGACATGGGCGGCGTCGGCGTGGAACCCGCGGGCGACCGCTCCCTCGCAGACGCTGTGGAGATTTATGCTCATCAAGGTGCTCACGCTACTCTCCCACCACACTCTCCTACGCGGTGCCAGCATCCGCGAGATCACGCTCCCCGACATCTTCTTGTACCGACTGGCGACGCACCTCGTCAGTGAACCCGGAGAACCAGCCGGTCGTCATGGTGATCGCCGCGCGGAACTCGAAGACTTCAAAGGATGCCCGTCTCCAGCAAAGCTACGCGGCGCGACACCTGGAAGCGGAGTTGTGCGCCGTCGGCGAGACCGGCCTGTGGCTGCACTTCATCCTCGACCAGATCGGTCAGTTCCACGGCGTCGACTTCCTTCCGTCGCTGGACACCACCGCACGCGAACGCTGGTACAAGAAGCACCCCTTCTTTGCCCGCAACGACAAGGAGCAAAAAGAGCTCCCAGCCGCCAGCCACCAACGTTGGACGCGGCAGTTGTGGTCGACCAACAAGGTGTTCTGCAAGCGGAACGTGCACGCCGCTCGCGCCGGAGGAGCGCAGGAGCTAGGATGTTCGGACGACCGAATTGCGCTGGGATGTTCGGTACTAACCTGTCTCCTGATCCCTGCGATGTGCTTTTGACTTCCAACTATTTTTTTTCTGCCATGACTTGCCGCCGAAAGCGGAGAGTAGAACTTCGCGGCTGGTTGGTTGGCGAGGCGAGTTCATGATCGTACTGTACCAGCTTGCAAACATACAACCGTTAACAAAATGTCTTCCTTACATATACCATATCTACTCAACAGTGAATTAGTGAGGTGTCTGTCTGGTCTCTAATAACCCCAACCAAAGAAACATTATTTGAGACATCACATTCTTGTTTCCTTGTTCCTGACCACCATGTTATAAAGACCTTCTGACAACCTCAGGTTCATTCACACCAGGACAAATCAGGAAAAGCCAACACATGCATTTATACATGTGCAAATTTGTTGATACGGCATCGAGAGAGTTGCAACACGAATTCTAGTCTCTGGTTGCACTTGTTCATTTATACACGCCTTGAAGGAATAAACGGGCAGTGAAGCAGAGATTTGCAGAAAGGACCTGCAAGGGATGGGAGAGAGAAGGGGAGGAAACATCGGATGGAGAGGGGAGAGGGGTGCAGGAGGGGGGAAAGGGGGGAGATCGGGGAAGGGAAAGTGAATTGGGGTGTATTTTTAGGGACATGCTTTGGGGAGGAGCCCAAAAGTGAAGGAGATGTTGCAGCAATGCTCGGCAATGCCGTGCAATGTTATGCAATGCCATACAATGCCATGCAAGCGGTGGGTGGGATCGTGGTGTTGAGATTGTGGCACCTGGAAGAGCAGCAGGCGGATGCAGAGTTGTTCATCGGTGCACGGGCCGAAGAGGCGCAGGAAGAGGTTCACCAAGTTGAGGCCATTGCTGCCCGTCAGACGGTGCGTGGCCGGGTCAAACCTGGTGGGGGAGCAAAGTACGAGGATAGGGAGCAGGAGGGCGAGGGAGAGGGGTGGGACGGTGAAACGGGATTGACCATGTTGAGGGCAGCTTCCCGTCAAGCGGTGGGTGGTCAGATCGAACCTGGAGAGAGGAACAGGGAATGCGCAGAGAGAGAGAGAGAGAGAGAGAGAGAGAGAGAGAGAGAGAGAGAGAGAGAGAGAGAGAGAGAGAGAGAGAGAGCGACTCAACTCTCTTGCCAGGCAAGAAGTTCATCGTGGCACCAACCTCAGCGGAGGTAGCCAAGCTGCTTCGTTAGTACTGCCAACGCTGGAGTGTCAAGATCAACGAGGCCTTGACGGCACACATACTCGGGTTACCGAGAACGGCCGAGCCTCTGAGGAAATCTCAACTGTTTCAACAAATTTGCTAACCCCTTCTGGTTCTTCCATCCTATAGCCCTGGGGTGAAAATTTCCGCTCAGAGATTCTTAAGCCAATCAAATCCTCCCATCCTATGTTCCCTTTTATCTCTGTACAGGTGCCGATGCGGAGCAAGAAGTGCCCACACAAGAGCACGTTTGAACTTGCATCCTACCTTAAATAAACCAAGGCCTGCACATAAAAGGCATAGCGTTGCCGTATCTGCTACCAGAAGTTGCTGTGGTCTGAACTTTTCCTGGGGGCTTCAGTACAACCACCGAGTTCATGAATCTTGAAATAAGGTGACTTCTGGGTCGACTCAAAACGTGAGTTTTGATTCGACTCAGAAGTCAGCTCTTCTTGGATGGCTTCAGTACAACCACCGAGTTCATGAATCTTGAAATGGCTGTCTTCAAAGTGTGCACACTCACTCTTACAACCGTTCCTTGTGAATGGAACCAAAGGTAGTATAGATGAGTTGAATCGCAAAGAACTGTTATACCGGTGATTGTGCACGCTTCATAAACAGTCACCATAACATTCAAGAAAACACGAGTTGTACTTACTGAAGCCACCTAGGAAGAGCTCGGACCACAACAGCTTTTCGTAGCAGCAGCGCCATACCCTCTTGAGATTCTTGACCAGACATTGGTTCATTCGAGGTAGAATGCAAGGTCAAACGCTCTCGTGTGGACACTTCTTGCCCTGCACTTTTTTTAACATGCTCTCATTCAGATTGAAATGCCTCGTTTCACGAAAAGGGAGTGCGAAGGCATGGCACTCACTTGGGCAGGCGATGTCTTGGGCGTAGCACGAACTTGAAGAGCTAAGACTAGTTCTGAGACGTATAAAATCCATTTTTCTGTCAGGGAGTGCAAACACATGGTACTCACTTGGGCAGGCGATGTCTTGGGCACGGCACGTACTTGAAGAGCTGAGATGGGACGACAAGGGATGGGAGGAAGGGTCGGCATGAGGGGCAAGGGGAGGGGTGAATGGGATGGGGAGGGAAGGGGTGCAGAGGGAGGGAAGGGACGAAGGAAAAGGTTGCATAGACGAACTTGGGCAGCCGATGTTTCGGGCAGACAATACTTAGAAGTTCATCGAGAAATCTGCCATTGACAATACAACACACGTGTGGAAAAAAGACGTTTTGAATTTTCTCAAAAATGGCAACACACCTGGGGAAGAGAGTAGATGAAATTGATGACCTGAGGTAGGAAGAGCAACAGAAGAGTCTCACTGATGGAAGGAAAGGGGGAAAAGGAGAAGATAAGGGAACAGTGAGTGAGACAATGGAGGAGGATAGGGTGGTCACAGACAATGCAATGCCGTAAGGATAAGAGGAGGTCAATATAGATTGGCAAGACTTTAATGAATTCGATTGAAACGAGCAAATCGATGGAATGATAAAGAGAAATTGAAGGGATCAATAAGCACTAGCTTCTGAAGTGAAGGAACCACCTGAAGTGGCCCATAATGCCGACCACAGCCAGTGTCATTCCAGCAAAGTACGTGAACGTGTCACCCACAAAGACCTGCGAGGGGTACCTGGGAGAGAGATAAGGGAGGAGGTGAGAGGATCCGTGAGGGGGCGAGCGGGGGGGACCACAGCGAGCGTCATTCTAGCGAAGTAGGTGAACGTGTCTCCCACAAAGACACTAGAGGGGTACCTGAGACATTGGCGATAGGGGGCGAGACGTGAGTGGTGGGACCACAACAAAAAGCTTCAAGCAGAAATTTGTGATGTCTCAAAAGTCGAGACGGATAGAAAGATATGCTGGTTTGGTATCGAATGTTTGCTTGAGAATCCTCAAAGAACACCTGCATCGAAATGGCGCGGCACGGTGGATGGAGAATTCTTTAAGCGCCTAAAAAACCGAATGTTCGTTTGAGAACCCTCAAAGCACACCTGCATGATTCGAAAAGGCGAGGTGGATGGAAAAGAGACATGATTCAACCTGATGATCACAACGTACTACCAGTTGACGACTCACCAGTTGAAGACGAGGAGTGCAAGTGTGCAGGCCAGGAGGGGCAGGATGAGGTAGATGGAGAAGAGGTGGGCCTGTTGCATGTCCGGCTGCAGTGGCAGCTTAAAGCCCGGAAGCTCGCCGATTTGCCAGATGTTGAAGAGCAGCACCTGGGAGGGAGAGGGCGGGAGAGGGGGGGGGGGGGGGGGAAGGAGAATGAAAAGGGAGGAGAGAGTGACACCCTTAGTTGGAGAGGACGCGTCCACCATTCTGGACGCTAGCATTGAGAGTTAAAGAGTAGTTTCTCTAACACTGTCTCCGCAGCAACAATGACAGCAGTTTGACCTGCATCCAGCCCATTCACTCGTGCCAGAATGAAGCAGAAAACCACCAGTCCATCATGCCCGTGCGAATCTTGTACAGCAAGCAGGCCCAGATGCCAGATGGCCACAAAACAGCTGGTAGAAAGCACCTCCCTCTCTCTTTCTCCTTGGTAGACCTTGTAGAGCACGTCCAGGTGTATGGATGCACGCCTGGGAAAGGGAATCAAGACCGCACTCACTGCAGCAGCAATGACAGCGGTCTGCCCAGCCTCCAGCCCATTCACTCCCGCCAGGATGTTAATCGAATTCGAGCAGAAGACGACGAGCATGCCCATGTAGACCTTGTACAGCACGCCCAGGTCCCACACGGGCACCTTACACCTGGTAAAAAGCAGCACTCTCTTTCTCTCTCTCCTCATTCTCTCGCATTCACCGAGGCAGCAATGACAGCAGTCTGCCCCGCCTTCAGGCCGTTCACTCCCGCCAGGATATTAATGGAGTTGGAGCAGAAGACCACGAGCATGCCCATGTAGACCTTGTACAGCACGCCCAGGTCCCACACGGGCACCTTATACCTGGTAAAAAGCACCTCTCTCCATTTCTCTCTCTCCTTCTCTCTCCCACTCTTACCGAGGCAGCAATCACAGCAGTCTGCCCTGCTTCCAAGCCATTCACCCCCGCCAGGATATTATTAGAGTTGGAGCAGAACACCACGAGCATGCCCATGTAGACCTTGTACAGCACGCCCAGGTCCCACACATACACGCTCTCTCCCACTCTTGCACTTCCTTACCGAGGCAGCAATGACAGCAGTCTGTCCCGCCTCCAAGCCATTCACTCCTGCCAATATGTTAATGGAGTTGGAGCAAAAGACAACGAGCATGCCCATGTAGACCTTGTACAGCACGCCCAGGTCCCACACGGGCACCTCCTCGCCCGCCAGCCCCGCCAGCAGCGGCCGCAGCGGCTTGGGAATGACGATGGTGGTGTGGCCTGAATAGGCCATCAGGAGAGGCGGTGCCGCGATAGACGGCAGAATGAGTTTGCTGCAGGGGAGAAAAAGAAGGAGGTGGGGGCGGGAAAGGGGGAAGGAAGGGGCGGGAAAGGGCAGGAAAGGGGGCGGGAAGGGGCGGGAAGGGGCGGGAAAGGGGGCGAGAAGGGGCGGGAAGTGGGGGAAACAGCATGAGGTTTGGAGGGGGGGAGACGAGATGACGAGCATGCCCATGTAGACCTTGTACAGCACGCCCAGGTCCCACACGGCCACCTCCTCGCCTGCCAGCCCTGCCAGCAGCGGCCGCAGCGGCTTGGGGATGAGGAGAGGCTGTGCTGCGATCGACGGGAGAATGAGCTTTCTGCAGGGGGGGAGGGGGAAAGGGGAGGGACAAGCATATGGCTTGGGTGGGTGAGAGCGACCACAGGGCTTGGGGATGACAATGGTGGTGTGGCCGGAATAGGAAGAGAGGCAGGGCGGCGATTGAGGGGAGGACGAGCTTTCTGAGGAGGAAAAAGGGAGGGAGGTTGGGGCGGAAAGGGGGGAGGGAGAATGGGGGGGGAGGGGAAGAGGGGGAGACAACCATGGTGCTAAAGGGGAAACCACGAGCAGAGCTCGTTCTTTGGGCAAGGAAATCTGCACGTCGCTCTAAATCGACTCAAACCTGCCCTTGATATGACCCATCCCTCCCCCTCGCACCAACTCTCAGCAGCACCCCCTAGCACGATCCCTTAGCACCACCCCTCAACACCCCCCCCCCCCCAACCAGCACTCACACGCGCCAGGGGATGTCGAGCACATCGTCAATAAAGCCCAGGAAGGCCATGTAGCAGATGTAGGCCAGAGCCGCGTTGTACTCGAGCAGCCACTGGCAGGGGAAGGGAGGGTAAGGGGGAGGGAGGGAGGGGGCAGGAAGAGCAGGAGGGAGAATGGGTGGACAGGAAGGCAAGGGATGTCAAGCACATCGTCCATGAATCCAAGGAAGGCCATGTAGCAGATGCAGGCCAGAGCCGCGTTGTACTCGAGCAGCCACTGGAGGGGAGCGTTAGGGAGCAGGGAGAGAAGAGGAATGAAGCCCAAAAAGGCCATGTAGAAGATGCACGCGAGGGCTGCGTTGGAGTGGAAGGGGAGGTGGATTAGGGGTACGGAGGGGGCGGAAGGGTAGGGGTTGGAAGAGGAATCACTCGAGCAATCACCTAGCAATTACCATGCGCGAGTACCTGAAAAAACACCTGAAAATTGGCCTGGGGAGGCACTCACAGGCGAGTCAGGCGTGAAGTAGAAGTGCTGGAAGAGAATGGTTACCACCAGGTACACGAGCGCCACCACCAGTCCCTGCGTCTCGGGTCTGGGGAGTGTGGGGTGGGGGATGGGGGCATGGAGGCATGGGGGCATCGGGGGCAAGTCACAATGCTACCCACCTACCCACCCAGTCTCCCACCAGATACACGAGCGCCACCACCAGTCCCTGCGTCTCGAGTCTGCATAGGAAGTGTGGGAGAAACATATGGCATGGCAGGCATTGGGGGCATGGGGGTGCATGCACGGGTGACATAGGGAAGTCAGCATGCTACCTACCCACCCAGCCTCCCACCAGGTATACGAGAGCCCCCACCAGTCCCCGAGCCTCGGGTCTGCGTAGGGAGTGTGGGGAAGCACACTGCTGCGTAGGGGGGAAGGGAAGTGCAAGGCTGACAAGGGGAAGCCACCATCACTTTGTGACCTACCAAGTCCCCCACGACGTACACAATGGCCACCATCAGGCACATGTTACCAGGTTACCAGGTTACTTGCACTCAAGTTACCCCTGAGATTGACAAAATGCGCGACGCCATATCCTGATGGCGCACACAGGTCACATCACATTACGATGCAATCAACAGGTTCAGAATTCCCCCTTTTCACCGCTTCCTCACCTCTTCCCCCCTTTAATCATCCCCCCTCAACTTTTTCCTCCCCCGCCCTTCACCATAGGTACGGTATCGACACAAATGGCGCTGTGACTACACCTGACGCCCACCTCGTTGGCGGCCTTTCGTTATACTCGCATCTTGATTTCTCCAGCCGGGGAACCTCGCTTGTCCATATCGTATCCGAACATGTTTCTCCGCAACATATAAGGCACCGCCATCGGGATCAGCTTCGTTGTTATAACGAATCCCGCGACGCTCATAACGGCGTTGATTGTAATGGACCGTCGCTCTAACGGATCAAGCTCCATCACGAGAAACGCCACTATAAGGGGAGTCAGGACGCACGCCGCGAAGATCCCCACGCGGACGGGCCGCGACCATCTGTTCAGCGGCGGAGCGATGATGACGTCACGGGAAGCATCGCCTAGTTTGCCGTCAGCGACGCTTTTCGAATCTGCCGTCGCGACGCGTTTCGAATCATCTGCCGTTGCGACGCCTTTCGAATCATCTGCAGTCGCGATGCTTGATTTTGGTCTCCGTGCTTGATTTTGGTCTCCGTGCTTGTGCTTGACTGCGAGCCATCACGCGGCTCCAACAACAAGACCGCCGCGCTTAAGCTACGGCTTTGATCTGACGTCGAAGGCTTGCAGATTAGCGGTTAAGCAGAGAACGAAGTGTAAGTTTTGGAAGCCTATAACTTTGACGGCGAGACGGAGAGATGGCAAACGACGCTCCACAAGCAGGCGGCTCGAGATCAAGCAACGGCGAGGGATGCAGCAGTCGACGTGATCGAGCGAACTAGAGTCGTTTGATGTAGAACAAGGTTGGTTGAGAAGCGTCAGCCATGGTAGTTGAAGCTTGCAGTGCTGGTTTGAAAAATGCTATCAACAGGATCATCTGTCACGAAAACATTGATTCTAGATTCTTGTGTATCCGTTATTGGCCTTTCGCCGCTGTTATACTAAACCCCTTGTATACACTGACAGAGTTGTAACAGGTAAAATCATATTCAACATCTTGATTGCATTTGCAAAAACCAGAACATATCGGATGTTAAATTCAGGTTTAGTTCAAAACGAACTTCCTATCTTAAACTGTATTGTTCCAATCATCCCGGTAAACACCTGCATTCCAACATATCGAGCTTGTGGAGGATGGCTTCAGCAGCACCTCGGAGCCCATGCATGCCGCAACCGCAAGCACAAAGTCACTGAACAACACAATGTCAGCAGCACTTCAGGATTCACTTTCCGTCCCTCGTCGCTTCAGAACAACAACGTCAGGAGCTCGGCACCAGCAGCCTCCTTTCGCATAACTGAAAGAAATCAGCGTTTCCTTCATGGAGGAAGAATCCACCATTCGCATTTTCCAGATTGTGGTTTGTGTTTGTATATTGAAATACGCGAACAGGTACGCGGCAGGATCGTCCGAAGATGGGTAAGATTGGAGTGTGGATTCTAGCTTTGGGGGGAGGCGTATTAACCCTCCTTTACCTTCTTCCATGGGCGTACATCGCGCTTGACCTTCTCGGAAACTGCCGCGATGCGCCTCCTGCAGTGCAAGAGGTATTCTCCTTGTCCGAATCCTTATCGTAGGAGGTATTGATGAGTTATTTCGAGTACGTAATGTTTTACTGGGTGTTCAGAGAGTTATTCTTCCTTTAATTTTCAACCAACGAAACCGGTTTTCCTTTCTGTGCTTCTCCCGCCTGCAGCCTTTCGTCTCGTTCGAGGAAATCGTCAACCAAGGCACGTCCGATAAGCGCACGCACCACTACGGCGCCTTCTACAGCCTCTATCTCGACCCGCTGCGCCTGCCGCGACAGTCCCTTGATACCAAAACTATCAGAAGATTACGCGGGAAGAAACGAGAGCAAGAGTCCGCGTGGGAGGTTCCCGAGGTGAACATGCTGGAGATCGGGCTCAAATACGGCGACTCGCTGAAGCTGTGGAAGAGGGCGTTTCCGAAAGGTAGGATCTACGGGATTGACAACGGAGTCATTTCGAAGGTGAGGTCTCTGGAAATAAGATATAAGCAAATATATTTAAATGTCCTTAACAGACATCTCCGTTGTAGTCTAGTCGGTTAGGATACTCGGCTCTCACCCGAGAGACCCGGGTTCAAGTCCCGGCAACGGAAATTCTTTTGTTTCTGCATCCCCGCTGTCCTAGTTCAAACACACAAAGCATACTCAAGTGCTTGGCATTCTGTTTTATGATGTGTTGTACACAGGGCATCATGTCCTTCAAAGCTTTTCAACCCAGACAGAAGCACCAGGGAGGGGCGCGGCTTACCTTCCCCGTCCATTTTCTTGTCTGTTCCACGTCCATCCCCTCTCATCTTCGCTTCTCTGTTGCCTCAGAAGTACCAGGCAGAGGCGTGGAACCCCCAGGTACGGCTGATGGCTTCTGTTCCCCACCTCCCGACCATGTTGGGGCCTCTTCCTCACCTCCTGGCCATGTTGATCCCATGCCCATCCAATTCCTATCCCCTATGTCCGCATCACCACAGAAGCACCGGGCAGAGGCGAGGAACCCGCAGGTGCGGCTGATGGTGTTTCTTCCACACCTCCTGACCATGTTCATCCCCCATCCCCATCCTCTACTCCTTTCATGGCCTCGAAGCACCAGGCAGGGCCAAGAAACCCACAGGTGCGGCTAATGGCTTCTCTTTCCCACCTTCTGACCATGTTTATCCGCCATCCCCATCCTCTACGCCCCTCATGGCTTCAGAAGCACCAGGCAGAGGCCGGGAACCCGCAGGTGCGGCTGATGGCTTCTCTTTCCCACCTCCCGACCATGTTTATTCCCCATCCCCATCCTCTACGCCCCTCATGGCCTCCGAAGCACCAGGCAGAGGCTGGGGACCCGCGGGTGCGGCTGATGGGGTATCTTCCGCACCTCCTGGCTGTGTTTATCCCATGCCCATTTCATGCCCATCACATGCCTATTCCATGCCTATTCCATGCCTATCCCCCATGTCCGCATCTCCACAGAAGCACCAGGCGGAGGCGAGGGACCCGCGGGTGCGGCTGATGGTGGGCGACCAGGCGAATGGGACGTTCCTGGAGCAAGTGATGGCTGAGATAAAGAGTGCGGTGAGGAGTGGTGGCTGAGATAAAGAGTGCGGTGAGGAGTGGTGGCTGAGATAAAGAGTGCGGTGAGGAGTGGTGGCTGAGATAAAGAGTGCAGTGAGGAGTGATGGCTGGGGGAAAGTGTGCGGTGAGGAGGGTTTCTGAGACAGGGAGTGGTGAGGATGGTTGGCTGCGATAAAGAGCATGCAGGTGTTGGTGTGGTAGAACGGTGAGATGCAGTTTCTGTGTGGCATAGTGGGCAAGGGGATGGATTTGCATATCATGGTTTGGTGGAGATGGCACTGATGGGTATGTTGATTAGAAAATGTATGGTGTGCATGGCATGGTGTGCATGGCATGGTGTGCATGGCATGGTGTGCATGGCATGGTGTGCATGGCATGGTGTGCATGGCATGGTGGCATGGTAGGAAACAGGATGAATTTGCGTATCATGGTTTGGTGGAGATGGCACTGACGGGTATGTTGATTTGAACATGTATGGTGTGCATGGCATGGTGGCATGGTAGGCAACGGGATGCATCTGCATATCGTGGGGTGGTGGAGATGGCGCTGATGAGTATGTTGAATGAAATTGCAGGGCATGGTGCAGGCATGCTGTGCTTGGCATGGTGTGTAAATCATGGTACGCGTGGCATGGTGTGCATGTGCTTCACGTGGGTGCCCTGAAAAAACGGTCACTCTCCTTTTCTTGGCTACCCTTGTCCTCGTATGGTGTTGTAGCCCTTTTCTTGTTGTTGCATTGACTCGTTCCTTATTGTCGTATCGGCTCGTGTCAGGTGGGTCTGCTTGACTTCATAGTGGATGATGGTTGTCACACCATGGATCAGCAGCAGACATCCCTCAAACACCTCCTGCCCCTTGTCAAGGTAACTTGGCAGAATACATTGAGTAATCAAGCTTAATGGCGACTGTTACCCTTTTCTCCCCTCGCTGCAGTATTCATGTGTACACATAAATATACATCCCCATACATTCTCCTCCGGCCCCCTCTCATTCACTCTAGCAGTGCCTTTCCTTTATTTCATTGTACAGTAATACTCTTCCATATTTCCTTACATTATTTTTCCAGCATGGAGGGATGTAGTGCAGCAAGGGTGCTGAAGCAACCTTTGGGTGCCTTTCTCTTCCCCACCTCCATTCGCCTCGCATCCTTTCGAACTTCCTTCTCGGTCCCCTCAACGTTTCCCCCACCTCCCTTTGCCTCACATCCTTTCTCTAATCTCAACAGCCTGGAGGGACGTATTTTATAGAGGATGTGGAGACATCGTATTACACCAAGTGCCACGTTACAGGGTGTTACAGGGGCGGTCCTCCTGGACTCAACACTACAACTATACACATAATGAAAGAGCTTATAGATGTGATGAATAAGGAATTCTTTCAGAAGCAGGTTTATTACCGGAATGTAACACGTCCGGGGTTTTATGCGACTCCAGTGGAAGAGTCGGTGGGGGCAGTACACTGCATGTGCAATATCTGTGCGCTTAGGCGTAAAACTACTCGCTGGTTCTAAATAGTTTGAGATGCGGGATACGATGACCTGGCGCACTGCATACGGTACTCATTCTACTACAATTCCTCTCCGGTCTGCATTCTAATGATCTTGCTGCTCAAGCACGCAGCATAGTGAACAAGCACAGTTGTAAACTCCTACGTACAAAACTGGTTTACATACATACATATCCAGATTCTGTAACTAACCAGATGGAAGTGTCAACTCACAATACTAGGAGATTGTGCTCCTGCTAATACCAAGGACTAGATTTCCTTCTAAGCGCACAAATGTTCCTCATGCAGTGTACTGTGCCCACCAGATCCTCCACAGGAGTCGTGTAAAATTCCTCACTTGTGGACTTCTTGATATAAGCCTGATTCTCAATATAGTCACGGTTTACCACGTCCATAAGCTTCTTGAGAACGTGTATCGTTGTGGTGTTGAGACCAGGGGGGCCGCCTTCGTAGCACCCTGTAATGTGGCATTTAGTGTAGTACGACGTCTCCAGATCCTCTATAAAATAAATTCCACCAGGCTGGGTAAAAACAATGGGGGGGTAGGAGAGTCGGAAGGAGGGAAGGAAGTGGTAAACAAAATCAGACCCCAGAAATTATCAGAACCAAGAAAGACCGTGCTTTTATGAGAGAACAAGGAGGTGGAGCGTGGGGGGGTGGGGGTGGGGGGGGCGGGGGGGGGGAGAGTGGCGGGAGCGGGAGGACGGATGGAAGAGGGAAAACGGAGTGACGGTGGAGGGAAGCGGGAGAAAATGGGGAGGGCTGAGAGGAGTCATGCGGAAGTTGGGCAGACAGTGAGGAGGAGAAGAACGAGAGAGGGATTGCAGGGGAAGCAAGGTTGGAGGGAGAGAGGAATTGAGAAATGAGAGAGACAAGAGGAAGAGGGAGGAGAAGGAAGGAGAACCAACGTTGCAAGTTGAAGATGGGCACAGGAAGGAGTCCTAGTTTATCTGGCAATCAAACTAGGACACAGGACAGGAGTGGTATGCAGTGTGTTGACCAACAGCCAGATAAACCGAAACCAGAAGCACGGAATACCTTGACTAGCAGCAAGGTGATTTTCGAGTCAACTCAAAAGTCACCCCAAAACAAGAGGGACGAAATACTTTGACAAGAGGCAGGAAATATTTCAACAAGTGGCAACAGGTACCTTGACAAGAGGCAGGAGGTGTTTGAGGGATGTCTGCTGCTGATCCATGGTGTGACCACCATCGTCCACTATGAAGTCAAGCAGACCCACCTGAAACGAGTCACAACACAGTAACGGGGACAAGGGCAGCCCAAGTAAGAAAAAGAGATCAAAAGATAGTAATCAGAACGCATGCCATTCCACTGCCATTCAAACGCATGCCATTCCACTGCCATTCAAACGCATGCCATTCCACCGCCATTCAAACGCATGCCCTTCCACTGCCATTCAAATATACTCCTTTCCTATGCCACTGCTTCATTATATCTGCGTGAATCTTACTTACGTAGCAGTATCACACAATTTTCCAGCGGCACACACATACGGATACGGCATATCCCATCATTTCACCCCATCCCATCCCAACCCATCCCCTCCCATCCCATCCCATCCCATCCCATGCCATCCCATCACATCTCCTGCTTAACCCCGAACCCTTCACAATGCAACACCACACAACATCACACTCAACATCAGCTCACCACATCAGGCCTCACCGCACTCTTTATCTCGGCCACCACTCCACACCGCACTCTTTATCTCAGCCACCACCCATCACCGCACTCTTAATCTCAGCCACCATCCTCACCGCACTCTTTCCCCCCGCCACCACTCCTCACCACACTCTTTATCCCAGCCACCACTCCTCACCGCACTCTTGATCTCAGCCACCACTTGCTCCAGGAACGTCCCATTCGCCTGGTCGCCCACCATCAGCCGCACCCGCGGGTCCCGCGCCTCTGCCTGGTGCTTCTGCGGAGATGAGAGGCAAAGAGAGGATGGGGGGTTGGGCGTGGGACAGAAAGAGCAGTCACGGATGGGGAATAGGCGTGGAGAGTCGAGCTTCTTGGGTCCGGTCACACACAAAAAGCAAACAAGTGGTTACTCTTGTTACCCGCATGCCAAACAACCAAATCAACACTGCTTTTGCGGCCTACCTTCCAAATCATCTCATTGTCTATCCCATAGATCCTGCCTCTCAGAAACGCTCTTCCCTAGTTAGAGAGCGAGCCGCCGTAGTTGAGCCCTGGGACCCTCTGAACATCTGTAGTTGAATCTCCAGCATGTTCACTTCAGGAGGGAAGGGAACCTCGGGAGGGACCCTCTGAACCGTCAGGCTCACCTATCTTGGGACCCACGGGCTTACCTTGGAAATCATCTCATTGTCAATTCCGTAAATCCTGCCTCTCGGGAACGCTCTCTTCCAGAGCTTCAGCGAGTCGCCGTATTTGAGCCCGATCTCCAGCATGTTCACTGCGCGGGGCTCCCACGGCTGCTGCTGCTGCGCTTCCTCCGATCGCGACCGTTCATTCTGCTCCAATCGACGGCGATCCGTGGTCCGCTCAGATTCGCCGCGAGTGTGGTGCTCGCCCAGCTGAGGCTGCTGACAATCGCCAGGAGCTTGGGGCTGCAGAGGCAGGCGCAGCGGGTCGAGATAGAGGCTGTAGAATGCGCCGTAGTGATGCGTGCGCTTATCGGACGTGCCTTGATTGACGATCGCTTCGAAAGAAATGAATCCCTGTGAGGGGAACGGCAGAGTAGAGTACCAAGGCGGAGGAGAGACGTGTTTTTTTATTCACTTTGAAATCTTTACAGGAGTTACTTCAATGAAGAAAGCCAAGGTGAAGGGGACACGCAAACGGTTCGGGAATGCACAATGTTACTGCTAAGAACGAGCGAGAGCGATTACGTAAGCAATCGAGAGAACCTCAAGCATTTGAGTTATCGCCACGCTGGTTAAGGCTGGGTTGCAGATTAATACGACTGACAGGCTGTCAGTGCCAGTGAGGTAGCATTAATTAAAGCTCTGCTCATGTACGACATCCTTAAATTCAGTTCGACCGTGCATCACATTACCTCTGATGCGTCGTGACAGTTCTGGATAAGATTATACGCGATATACAACCACGGGAGGAGGTACACAATGAATAGGACGCCTCTTGACGGCAGAGCAGATTTCGGGTCGACACCCTTCCCCATCCTCCCGACCGACTAAAACTGCTAGCGTTTGCGATCCTGGTAGTAAATGTATCCCAGTTCTTGCACGCGCAGGACTAACTATGCAGCTCTGAGACTGCTAGCAGGTCGCAAGCCTGCTAAATGTATTCCGCTTCTTTCCCACCCAGGAATGGCTCGCCGCAACACCGACTGGAAGGCTGTGACAAACAGCAGATGACTAACGCTTCTGCACTCTCACACCAATGAGAAGATACGAGCTTTGGCACCTTGGGTTCTATGAGATAGCTGGAGGGGAAATCCCTGAAGACCCGGATACTGTGTGCTACATTACTAGAAGAGAACTGAATATATTGTACCATTACCACATGATACTACACTATATTATTAAAAGTCTAGCATGTCACAACTCTACAAACATGCATAGGCATGTTTGAGCATAGAACTGTACGTTGAGGCACCAGTACCGTAGCTTCATCACAAGTTGGAAACCACCCCTCAACGGTGATGTTCACAATGCTGAGCTTTGGAAATAAGGGAAAAAAGGAAATTATGCTAACACTTGGACTCAACACTTGTACTAGGTGGTGTTACTAATACCAATGACTAGTCTTGCGTCTAAGTGCACACATGTTGCGCATGCAGTGCACAGACCCCACCAGTTTCTCCACCGGAGTTGCGTAGAACATCCCATGCGTCATGCTCTTGAAATACGGCTGCTTCTCGAAAAACTCCTTATTCATTGCGTCTAAGAGCGACTGCATAACGTGCATAGTAGTGTCTGCTTCAAGAAGGCCGTTCTTATATGATGTCTCCACATTTTCGATAAAGTAGGTTCCACCGGGCTGGGACAAAAAGGTCGGTGGTGGGTAGATCAGGAATGGGAGGCAGGAGGGGAGGGAAGGAGAAGGGAGGAGATGGGGGAAAAAAAAAAGCAGAAGGAAAACGGAAGACCGATAGAGGAAGGTAACATATTCAGGATCAAGATGGGTACGGACAGAAGGGGGACGCAGCGCAGGTGGTGCGTGCTAACATGAAGGGATGGAGGGAACAAGTGAGGTGTAGACTATGAGTGGAAAATGGCAGCGATCCTTATCCCGAACACGAATGCTGGTGAGAGCACCTGGATGAAAAGCAGTAGCAGACGAAGCAGCAGGTACCTTGACTAGCAACGGAAGGTACCTTCACAAGTGGCAGGAGGTGTTTGAGGGAGGTTTGTTGCTGATCCATGGTGTGACCACCATCGTCCACTATGAAGTCAAGCAGACCCACCTGAAACGAGTCACAACACAATATCGGGGATGTGTTCAATCTGGAATTGCAGGGCGTTGCATACATAAAAAGCATGGATAACCAAGAGAACAATCCGTCATCAATACAGCTGTGCAGAGATGGCGTTGCACAAACGACTTTTCAAACAACTTTTTGAAAACTCACGCATGGCACATCATAGCACACGGGCTGGAACATTGAAACGAACAACCCTTTTGGTTGAGAAGAAAGTCAGCCATAAGATTTGCAAGATTCAAATGAAGATTTGTTATTGGCTTCAACGCACCACAGAACAATCCCCAGACTTCGCAAATATGGTTACCTTCGCAGAAACCGACGATTCGGCAATTGTTCGTTGCAATGTTACATGCCCCAACCGTCCATGTTTTATAATACACACTCATACAACTAAACTTCACTTCATCTTGAAACATGCCACGCCATCGCACCACATTATACCACTCCTCACCTCATTCCTTATCTGAGCAACCACTTTCTCCAAGAAAGCCCCATTCGCTTGGCCGCCCACCACCAGCCGCACCCGCGGGTCCTGCACCTCTGCCTGATGCTGGGGGCAAGAAACCAAGGTTTGAAACGAGAATACTCCGGACAAGAAGAGAAAAAGGAGAAAACTGTTGCAAAACGAGCAGAGCAGAGCCATAAAAAGAACGATACGCTGCCTTTGATAGCGTTGCACTGCGATTACACTGGGATTGATCTACCTAGAATTCAAAACCAACCCACCCAGCACCAGCACTCCTAACCTGAATCTTAACCACTTTCTCACAATTGATGAAAATAACAGCACCCAAGATTCTCAGAATTTAAAGCATCTGATGGTAACAAATTCTGCTTGCGTAAAAGTAGACACGGATTTTTCTGCATTCAATACCAGTAACTTTCCTCCTTGGCATGACCTCCCTCCTTCACTCCCCCCCTTCCCCCCCTTCCCCCCTTTCCCCACTCCCCACCTCCCCCCTCCCCCCTTACCCTCCCTCCTCACCTCCCCCCCTTCAACCCTCACTCCCTCACCTCCTCACCACACTCCCCCTCTCCCCTTGGCGGAGGTGGTTTCATTCGCAATCCCCTAGATAAACCTTCTTGGGAATGCCCCAGGTGTCCTTTGCGTTGACTCAACAGTCACACGTACCATCATGGCGGAGGTGGTTTCACTCGCAATGCCGTGGATGACCCCCCTTGGGAATGCCGTGGATGCCCCCTCGGGAATGCCGGAGGTGAACCCCCTTGGGAATGCCCGAGGTGACCCCCCTCAGGAATGCCCCAGGTGACTCAACAGTCACACTGGACGTACCATCATGGCGGAGGTGGTTTCATTTGCAATGCCGTAGATGACCCCCCTTGGGAATGCCCGCTTCCACAGCTGCAGCGAGTCGCCGTACGCGCGACCGACCGTCAGCAAGTTCACCTCCTGGTTTTCCCAGACCGGGATCCGATCATCACCACGGGTTAGTTGCGGTCGGCGTAAGGGGTCGAGATACAGGCTGTAGAACGCGCCGTAGTGGCTCGCGCGGATATCGGATGTGACATTGTCGAGGATTTGTTGGAAGGGAGTGATGGGCTGCAGCCGGGATAGGTACATCTGCAGGAGGAAAGGAGAGGACGGTTCACACGGCGTTAAATATCAGGATTTTACAGGTGGTTGTAAGAGTCTCGTGTAAGTTCTCAAGCGACAGTACTAGCGATGCTAACATGAGCAAATGACATAATGCAGCATCAATGTGAATGCACCTATTGGTTCGACAGTCCAGATTCACAAGGACCGTAGCAACAAACCTGAAACGAAACAAGATCGTGTGTATTCGTAAAAAGAAGGCGTATGCTACAGGGAAGAAACGCGCTGAAAATGCACGAATGCACCTAATTTAGTGATAAGCTTCTGACCTCGTGCTCCGCGGATGGGCCATGGCGGCAGTTCCCGATGAAGTCAAAAGCGACGTACAACCAGGGAAGCACGGAGAGGATGACTAAGAAGCTCCCTTGCGGAGCGATATTCCAGGCATTGCTACTCTTCCTCATCGTGCTGACTAATGTAACGGAGCGTGGTGATGGACGATCGACTAGTACGTGCCTATGAAGACTGCCTAGTGGAGCCTAGAAATCCTCGAAACGTTTACCTTCCTCGAATATCTATTTGCGTCTACTGCTGACTTAGCCGACTGCTGCTGCTGCATGCCTTCATGAATGACAGTACAGTAACAGAACAAGAGATTCTCTTGGGAGTAGCATTACTGTACCTTGCTCAAGCGCGGTACGCACCGCTATGAGCTTCTTCGGATGGTTGAGTTTGAAAATGGAGGAACTCTGATAAGGGTGTAGTTGAAATGTTAAATCGACATGCTTCTCAGGAGTTGGGCTGGTTGAGCTTTTGTTTTTTTGTCGTTTGCCCTTTACCCGGAAATTCTGTTCTGGTTGTTGGGGCTGTTGTGGGGTGGGGCGGGAATGGAGGTGGGTGGGTTAGTGGGACCGTACTGTAGGGAGCGGGAGACTGGCTGTCCCGGTGCGACCTGGTGGTGGTTCGTGGTTCATGTCGTGTGAGGTGTCGTGTCTACTCTACTCTGCTCTTCGTGGATTGCGGCGGGGCAGAGTCAAGATTGTTTCCAAAATTTCCTATTACTGTACTTCATGTCATCCTGAAATTACCGAGTCACGAACCTGTACGTTTCTTCAGATGATGCGTGTCCCGATCTAGCTCAGGGGAAGCGATTCATGAACACAACCCGACGCTCTCGAGTTCGCATGTCCGACGAGACCTTCGTGACACGCGGCAACTGTTGCTTTCCAGAAGCCTGTCTGGAATACGGTGATTCGGGCTGGTTTTGATTGAGGTGCGCAAAAGGTCAACCGTGATTCCAGAACCGTTCGCAAACGTAGTTGAATGTTCTGAACCGCGTCGAACGAATCCAGAATGACCAAGTTTGGTTGTCCCTTGCACACACGAGCGATAGAGCAGGACGGAGGCCATTCTTCTGAAACGAACGACAGAAACAGGGCAGTGCTTGACTAGATGTTTTGACGGACGCTGCTAGGATACAGTAGTGTGTTCCTCCCGAGTCCCTTAAAACCGGAGTCTCAAGTATCCCGAAGTTGCCTCATCCTTCCTACCTTTGGTTGGGTCCCGAAGTGAGAGATTATCCTACCTATTCCATTTTTCACCACGAGCAACGTGCCGTGACGCGTACCTTGGGGTTTTATCACACAGACGCGACTCGGACTCTGATAGTAGATTTGGCGTAGGCCGTGTCATCATTGCGGCGGCAGCGGCGATCACGGCGGTGACGGTGATAGTCAGTGTTGTCGAAACCGCAAAATGAGCTGTCAGAATCGCAAAAGTTCGTGTTGCCATGACCCTGCCTTAAGCGTTGCTCCCTCGGGCAACCACGAGCGCCACGGCGCGAATGACGCCTCAACACACGGCGCCGACGGCGATCGCGGCGCTGCTACCGCCGCCTGCGGTGACATTACGAGCAGCACGGTCCATCGAAGATTATTGGAAGATTCGTTAACGGATAGTCCTGACTGCCTGGTGGATTCGATAAACCCGGCGCGGCCGGCAAAAGTCCCGGCAATACCGCAATCTGGAGCCATGGCCGCAACGCAGTGGCAGTTTACTCAAGCTCCAAACCTTTTCAATCCGGCGATGGTGCCTCAACTGCAAGTTCCGCACTGGCAGACCGTGGAGTCTCACTTTCACGCCACCATAGACGGTTTAGGAGGCTGTATTTCGTCTTGCAAAGGCTCCTTACGGGAGAAGTTCGCCTCATCCACCTCACCGCCCTTGTTCGGCGGCGGCGGCTCCTCCGCCGCACCTTCCGCCGGCGGCGGTGGCGGCGCGGGTTCAGCGGCGTCATCGGCGCCGTCCGTCGCGTCGCTGGTGCACAGCCATTCGATCGTGCTGCTGCTGACGTGCGTCAGCATTCTAATGTCGGCTGTCAGCTTGGCGCTCGTTCTCTCCCTTCCCCCCCCGCTTCACCAAGAAGCCACTCTTACCACCATCAATACGGAACCACCGCCGACGGGTAACACTCTTAACACCGGTAATACCGCTCATACTGCTTTTCTCCCGCAAGACCTTTCCCGAGGCCCGTTATTATTAGGATCTAGGCAATCTAATGGCGCGTTGGGAAGCGGTGTCGCGGGTGCAGACGCAGGTCCCGTTAGTAGCAGTCTCGGTAGTAGCAACGCCACGGAAGTCGGTGTTTCAAGCAGCAGAAGCGATGGTAACTCAAGCAGCAGCATTAGCAGCAGCAGCGACGGTGGCAGCGGGGGTAGCAGCGGCGGTAATGGGAGCGGTAGCAGCGGCGGTATTGGGAGTGGTAGCAGCGGCACTAGCACGAGCCCCGAGAGTGACACTAGCAGAGGCAATGCAGGGAGTAATGGTGACAGTCAACCTCCCTCAGAGGATCCGGTTGTAGCCGTGCTCATGGCGCAGGCTGCCTCGCCACGACCGCTCAAGCCAGCTCTCAGAGGAGCAACAGCAACCGAGCCTAACAGTCAACCTCCCTCAGAGGATCCGGTTGTAGCTGTGCTCATGGCTCAGGCTGTGTCGCCACATCCGCTCCAGCCGGCTGCAGCGCCCCCCAGTGGCATTGTGGCTGTAGCAGCAGGAGGAGAAGCAGCAGCAGGGGGAGAAGCAGCAACAGGGGGAGAAGCAGCAACAGGGGGAGAAGCAGCAGCAGGAGGAGAAACAGCAGGAGGAGGAGAAACAGCAGGAGGAGAAACAGCAACAGGAGGAGAAGCAACAGCAGCAGAAAGTGCTGCAGGCGCAGCCGAAGTGGCCTCGGCAGAAGAGGAGGCAAGCTGGGATGGTGTGCAGGCCATCGTGCATATCAAGGTGCGCATTGATCAAATAAGTGCGTGTGGGTGCGTGCATGCAAGTGCAAAGCAGGTGTGTGTGTGTGTGCTGCTGCCCCCTTACCCCCTACCCCCACGGCCCCGTTCTCTCACCCCAACCCCCTGCCCTTTAGATGTCCATGCTGCCCTTAGCGCTGCAGCGGCTGTGCCAGGCGAGTGCTCTATGCACCCACCTCAGCATCCCTCTTCCATCTCTCCCCTACCCCTTCACAGGCGTCCATGCTTCCCCTAGCGGTGCAGCGGCTGTGCCAGGCCAGCACCCTATCCACCCTGCACAACACCACCTTGCTGCTGTAGGACCTGCGCCTTACAACTCTCCCCCCTCCCCTCCCCCCACGCCCCTACCCCCTTCACAGACGTCCGCACTACTGCTGGCTCTGCAGCGTCTGTGCCAGGCGAGTGCTCTATCCACCCTCCACAACATTTCTGTTGCATCTCTCCCCTACCCCTTCACAGGCGTCCGTGCTACCATTGGCTCTGCAGCGGCTGTGCCAGGCGAGGGCCCTATCCACCCTGCACAACATCCCTCCTCTCTCTCCCTCCCCCCCCCCCTCCTCCAACAGACGTCCGTGCTACCCTTAGCGCTGCAGAGGCTGTGCCAGGCGAGTGCTCTATCCACCCTGCACAACACCCCTCCTCTCTCTCCCACCCTCTTTCCTCCCCCCAACGCCCGTGCCTCCTCCAACAGACGTCCGTGCTCCCTCTAGCCCTGCAGCGACTATGCCAGGCCAGTGCTCTCTCCACCCTGCACAACGTCACCGTGGGGGTGCTGTGTTGTGGCACCTGCGTCTGCCCAAACCCCCATTTCCGCCTTCCTGACCCCCCAACCCAACCCCCTATCATCAGACGCCCGTGCTCCCCTTGGCTCTACAGCGGCTGTGCCAGGCCAGTGCTCTATCCACCCTGCACAACATCACCGTGGGCGTGCTGTGGCACCTGCGCCCACACACAACCCCCTCCGCCACCCCTCAGACTGCCACCAGCAGTGCAGGGACGGAGATGGAAACCCCCCCGCCTGTGCCCTTCTCAGCGCTGCTGCTGCCGCCCAAGGGGGTGGCGATCCGCTCGTCACTGCCTGCAGGGGTGGTGATGGTGGCAGGGGGGAAACGATTGCAGGTGCAGCAGGGAGATGGGCAGCAGGCAGAGAGGACGGAAGACTTTGGTATTGCACCGGTAAGCTCTGAGATGCCTTGGAAACCCCCCCGCCTGTGCCCTTCTCGGCGCTGCTGCTGCCGCCCAAGGGGGTGGCGATCCGCTCGTCACTGCCTGCAGGGGTGGAGGTGGTGGCGGGGGGGAAGCGATTGCAGGTGCAGAAGGCAGATAGGACGGACGACTTTGGTATTGCACCGGTAAGCTCCCCGAGCTGTTTCAAGCATCGACTTTTGAGGCGCCTCAAAAGTCGATTGCAGGTGCAGCAGGCAGATAGGACGGACGACTTTGGTATTGCACCGGTAAGCTCCGAGCTGCTTTAAGCATCGAGACGTGTTTTATAACTCTGTATGTATGAAGAGCTTGAGCTTTTGAGTTGTTTTGAGCATGGAGAGCGAAGGTTGGTTTTGAGACGTCTCGAAACCAACCTTTTTTCACGTGGTAGAGAGTCAAGTCATCTTTCAACTCATCAGTGTGTATGTTTGAGTTTGAAAAAAAACTCAAACTCCGCTAGACATCAGAGTGTATTTGTGAAGAGTTTGTGTTTCTTTTCACTGTAGCAGCATCATGCGTTGATGCGCTGGCTGCATTCACGTGTTGTTTGTGCTGGCGTGTAACATGGTGACGTGGCATGTTGCTATTGGCAGGTGAAGCGCAAGTGTGGGGAGAGGGAGGAGGAGGAGTGGAGCCCTCTGATCCTGCCCATGGAGGTCTATGTCCCCCGCTCTCTCGCCCGGGCCATGGTGAGTAGCAGAGGCACGATTCGTGCTGTGGTGAGTAGGGTTGCAGACTCATGAGTCGTACTTGGGTATTGCTGCCCCTGGTGCTGCCCATGGAGGTCTTTGTGCCGCGCCCTCTCACCCGTGCCATGGTGAGTCGCACCTGAGATGTATGTTTCTTACCTAAGTCTCTGTCCCCTTCTATCTACTCTATCCCACTTCCCGCAATCCCACTTCCCTGTATTCTGCTGTGCGTCTCTCTCTTTCTCTCTCCCGCCCCTCCCTCTATCCCTCCCGCCCCCCAGGCATCCACTGGCCCCTGCCGGCTGTATGACGAGACTATGAAGTGCTATCAGTCACTGCAACCATCATTGGCAGTGCGGGGGATGGTGGATGGGGAGGATGTGGGGCGATTGAGGGGCACAACGGGAGTGCTGCTGGAGGTGAGTTGACTGGTGGGGACGATTGGGGCACATGGTATGCTGCTGCAGGCATCAGCAGCAGTGCAGGGGATTGTGGAATGGGAGGATGTGGGGCGAGTGAGGGGCACAACGGGAGTGCTACTGGAGGTGAGTGAGGGGTAGGGGGTGAGAGGAGTGGTGGGGCATGGGGGAAAATGGAGGTACATGGCATGGCACAAGCAGAAATAGCTGTACACCCATCAGCAGCAGTGCAGGGGATGGTGGAATGGGAGGATGTGGGGCGAGTGAGGGGCACAACAGGCGTGCTGCTGGAGGTGAGTTGATTGATGGGGTGAAAGTGCTTCGTGGTGGAGTGGCAATATGGTATGGCACAAGCACACGCAGCTGCTGTTCCTACCATCAGCAGCAGTGCAGGGGATGGTGGATGGGGAGGATGTGGGGCGCGTGAGGGCCACTACAGGCGTGCTGCTGGAGGTGAGTGAGGGGTAGGGCTTTTACTTGTGTGGAGTGGCGGCATATGGTATGGTATGGCAAGCAGCACACGCACAGCTGCTGCAGCGGTCAGGAGCAGTGCGGGCGATGGTGGATGGGGAGGATGTGGGGCGAGTGAGGACGAAAATAGGAGAGCTGCTGGAGGTGAGTGGAGTGAAAATGCACAACATGCAACATGGGGGGGTGGTAGGGCATGGGGGGAATGGTAGATAGGGCATGGGGGAAATGATAGAGCATGGTGAGGATGGAAGATGGGGGAAGGATGTGGGCGAGTGGGCACCTCCCCATGTGCCTTGTCCACCATCTCACCGCCCTCTTCCTCCGCCACCCCTCCCTCGACTTCCACACACGCATACATGCAATCTCACCACTCTCTCTTTCTACTCGTCCATCCTCTTTTTGGGCGCCCTTGTAGCATAGAAAAGTAGTTTCGACCTGGATCCAGCAGTCCTAACTCGTCCTAATCTCCTCTAGGCTGAGCTTAGGCTAGTAGGGATTGAATAGGTAAGAAATTGTCATTCAAACCTGAGCGTACGCGCGTTTCGGCTGATGGCCTTTTTGGGCGCCCTTGTCTGTTCTCCCCTTCAAATTCTTCCCACCTCCCATTTTTTAGGCGCCTCAAAAATAGACTCCAAATTTTTAGGCGCTTCACAACATGCTTGCACGCAACCTCACCACTCTCACTTCTACCCTTCCATCCTCTTTTTGAGCGCCCTTGTCTGCTCTCCCCTTCCATTCCTTCTCAATCCCACATCCCCCCACTCAGGACCCCACGCGCTCTGGAGCCACCACCGCCCCCCCATGCCCCAACGCCAAGCTCCTCCCCACGTGCCTCATCCGCAATCTCACCGCCCTCTTCCTCCGCCACCCCTCCCTCAACTTCACTCTTGCTGCCGCCTCCCCTCCCCTGCCCTGCCCGCCCCCATCAGGACCCCAAACAATCGGGAGCCACGGGTGCTGCTGCCTCTGCGTGCCCCAACGCCAAGCTCCTCCCCACGTGCCTCATCCGCAATCTCACGGTCTTCTTCCTCCTCCACCCCTCCCTCGACTTCACTCTTGCTGTCGCCTCCCCTCCCCTGCCCGCCCTCTCCGTCGCATCCGCCTTCCACCCCAACCGCGCCCCGCTGCTGCCCCACACGACGGCATGGCGCGCTGAGCACTGCGGGGAGGGAGGGAGTGCAGACAATGCCACACCTTGCTACCAACGACTGGTAAGGCCCTTCCTCCATTCCAATCTGCTGGCCGTCTCTTGGCTTCTCTCTCTCTCCACTACCCGCCGCCTCCCCTCCCCTGCCCGCCCTCTCCGTCGCCTCCGCCTTCCACCCCAACCGCTCCCCCCTGCTGCCCCACGCCGCTGCGTGGCGGGTGGAACACTGCGGGGAAGGAAGGGCGGGGAGTGCTGATATCGCCACACCTTGCAACCAACGACTGGTAAGCCACTGCCTTTAGGCCTCTCTCACTCTTTTCGAGTCGCCGCCTCCCCTCCCCTGCCCTGCGCGCCTGCTCCGTTGCCTCCGCTTTCCACCCCAACCGCGCCCCCTGCTTCCCCACTGGCCGGTGGAACACTGCGGGGAAGGAGGGACAGGGAGTGGGGATATCACCACACCTTGCAACCAAAGACTGGTAAGCCCCTGCCCTCTATACTTCTCTCTTCTGTCCACCCCATCCGCGCCCCCCTGCTGCCGCACTTCTAAGTGGTTTATGGTGACTCTTGGTACGACTTTGTTGATTTGAGTCAACTTAATGCTTTCTCCCTCAAAAGTCGCCCGCCTTCTCCTTTGCCGTGTCTTGCAGCCCAGCACAGCAATTCCAAGGTTTGGCAGGATATTTGAGGCGCCTCAAAAAAACCTCAGAAAAAAAAATAGGCGCCTCAAAAGTCGCCCGCCTTCTCCTTTGCTGTGGCTCGCAACCCAGCACAGCGATTCCAAGGTTTGGCACGAGAACTCAGGCTCTCCCTCCCTCCCCCCCCTTCCTTGGCCCCTCCACCCTTTTTCCAATCCCTCCCAGCTGGCAGAGCTCTTTCTGCTGGCAGACGCCCCCTCGCTCATCTTCACTCACAAGTCGCCCGCCTTCTCATTCGCTGTGGCGCGCGGGTCAACACGGCAATCCCGAGGGCTGCAGGGGGCGTTCAAGGTGGTGCAGCCAGCGCTGTGTGCCTCTGCGTGCCCCAAGCCGCTGCTGGCGAATAAGTTTGCTCAACACATGATTGTGGATGGTGAGTGGATGGTGAGTGGATGGGGAGTGGATGGTGAGTGGATGGTGAGTGGATGGTGAGTGGATGGGGAGTGGATGGTGAGTGGATGGGGAGTGGATGGTGAGTGGATGGTGAGTGGATGGTGAGTGGATGGTGAGTGGATGGTGAGTGGATGGGGAGTGGATGGTGAGTGAGGAGTGAGGGTGCTTGAGAGTAGGCGCTCTGATTCGTCAGACATATGATCGCACCTCAACCCGGCAATCTCGAGGGCTCCAAGGGGCGTTCAGGGTGGTGCAGCCGGCGCTGTGTGCTGCTGCGTGCCCCAAACCGCTCTTGGAGAATAAGTTTGCTCAACACATGATTGTGGATGGTGAGTGGATGGTCATGGGGAGTGAGCAATGAGTGTGTGCCATGATCGCACCTCAACGCGGCAATCCCGGGGGCTCCAGGGGGCGTTCAGAGTGGTGCAGCCATCAATGTGTGCTGCTGCGTGCCCCAAACCGCTGCTGGCGAATAAATTCGCCCAACACATGATTGTTGATGGTGAGTGAATGGTGAGTGCATTGTGAGCGGAGGGTGAGTGGCTTTAGTGCCCTCTAATGCCCTCTAATGCCCTCTAATGCCCTCTAAAGCCCTCTAATGCCCTCTAGTGCCCTCTAGTGCCCTCTCGGTGTTCAGGTGCGCTTTTATGCAAAGCAATTATGTTTTAATCACACCCTCCTGTCCACCTCCCCCACTCCCTCCTGCTTCTCCCGATCCCCCAGAGTGGCCCTCTACTGCGCGCTGCCCAAGGTGGGCAACACGAGCCCAGGAGTCCCTCAAAGCCCTCCTCTCCCCTTTCCCCCCTCTCCCCCCAGAGTCCCTCAAGGCCCTGTACTGTGCTCTGCCCAAGGTGGGCAACACGAGCCCAAGGAGTCCCTCAAAGCCCTCTTCTATGCTCTGGTTTGGCTGAAGAAACCTCACTCCCTCTCTTCCTCCCCCTCCTCCCCCAGAGTCCCTCAAGGCCCTGTACTGCGCGCTGCCCAAGGTGGGCAACACGAGCTGGAAGCTCTGGTTCCGCCTCATGAAGCTTCATGGAAACTACTCCACTTTCCACTCCTTCGGCAAGAAAAATTCCGAGGCAGCAGATTCTGTGAACGGGACTGCAGCAGCAGATGCTGCGGTGGGGGGAACAGAAGGGACAGCAGCAGCAGCAGCAGCAGCAGCAGCAGCAGCAGCGTCGTCAGAGTCAGCAGGTTTAAACATAACAACCGAGGACTTTAAGATGATCCATCTGCCTGGGCAGAACGGCATCACAGAGCTGCCAGAGTTGAGCGAGGAGGCAGCCATCCGGTTCATCACACGGCGGGACGTGTTCCGATTCACGTTCGTGCGCAACCCTCTCACGCGCGCCACGTCAGCGTTCCTCGACAAGTTTGTGCACGCGCGGAACTTCACGAATGAGGGCGACGCGCGGCTGTATTGGGCGGACGCCATGTTTGGGAAGAGCAAGCAGCTCAAGAAGATGCTTAAAGAGCATCCTAAGGGTGACTTTTCGTTTGCGGAGTATCTGGTTCTTGTGGAGGAGGCTCTTAAAGGGGATGCTGATAAAATCGAGAATCACATTGACAAGCAGGTGAGGATGCTGGGTTGCTTTGAGGCTGATGGGTGGCTTTGATCGATGTTGATGCATGGTGGGTGTTTGCGAGTCATGAATAGGAAATCACTCCCATGTTTCTTGGGCCGTCCAATCCGTTCCATTGAATCCAGCTAACCCGGCTACCCAGTCTACCTCTGTGCTTTGGATTGCGTGTATTACGATGGGTCGCTTTACCCCCTCTCAGTCCCTTGCTTCAATTCTCCTGTCTCATTCCTGCGTTTAACTCTTCATCACTTTTCGTTCCCCAATCCCTCCTCCCCCCAGATCGACCTGTGTGCGTTGGATCGCGTGCACTACGACTTTGTGGGTCGCTTTGAGAATATGTCCGCTGACGTGGCAGCAGTGATGCGTCAGCTCAACACATCAGATCTCGGGATCTTCCAGAAGGGCAAGTCCCTCCAGCTCACAGGCGCGGACCAGCGTTCCGCACAATTGTATGATAAAGTGAGTGATAAATGCTGCCATTCCCATTTGATAAGGTGAGTGCTCAGTACCACCTTCCGCTATAAGGTGAGCCTTGATATTGTCCAGAAGGGCGAGTCCCTCCAGCTCACAGGCGCGGACCAGCGCTCCGCACAGTGTCACCATATGCTCGACAAGGTGAACCTTCAGTGCTGGTAAGCATTAGTCTACTACCAGTCTTTTCTACATGCAGAGGTGCTTGCTTCCGCAATGTCTCTCTAAAAAAGTCATCCTCCTCTCCTCTCTTCCACCCCATATGCGGGTTCAGGATTCGCTGGAGCGAGCAAATCGGATATACTGGGACGACATGAGCATTCCGTTCAACGCCATTCGCTACGACATTCCCGAGGCCCTCAAGCAGGTGGCTGCTCGGGAAAACGACACGCAAACACCGGGAATCACAACCTCTAGAAAACTCCTGGTTACCGAACCTCTCTTTTGAACGTCATTCGCCACGACATCCCCGAGGCCGCCAGGCGGTTCGGTGCTCGAAATGACGCGCCAACAGCCACAGTCTCTAGTTAACGTCGAGGTGCCATGCCACCGACGCTCTGGGTTCAACGCGATGCGAGGCTCATACCTCGGCAGCATGGCACATTTCGGCTGACTGCACAGTGCACTCATTCGCACAAGCCACAACTCCTAGGCGATGCAACAACCAAACCGCCAATTTATAGTCCGATACAGGGCCACTCGCCACTGCTTTGTGAACATGTTTCACCAAATGCATTTCAGAGCTTATCACTGTACAGAATTCTGACATAAAACGAGTGTCTCCATCTTCATATGTTAGAGCAGATTCCACACCGTTTCTTTGGTAACATCATGTGTACATTGAGCTTGGTGACACTCTGCCGAAACTGGGCTATCACATTTCCTGCACCTCAACATGCTGATCGACATCGAGCTTGAAAAAAACAGCTTTAAGTGCTGCAGAGGTTCCATTCATAAGGGAGCTTTCGCAACTCATACCAAGCCTGCAGGCTTTCTTGAGCCTTCCAAGCCTCATACCATACTACCAAACCATTTCATACTACAAGCCCAACTTAACCTTCCAACGATTGACTCAAGCACCTCCTACATTGCTCCACCCCTATACAATCACAAACCCCCCTGCAGACTCCCCTGCAGCGCCTGGGCCCGTGCCAGCACCTGCTGCTCCAGCAGACCACACGCCTCATCCGATCCCCTCAGTACAATCACAAATCCCCCTGCAAACTCTCCTGCAAAGCCTGGGCCTGTGCCAGCACCTGCAGCTTCAGCAGTCCACGCACCTCATACTGCCGAACCACCTCATACGACAGACCCATCTTGGCTGCTGTCTGCCGGAGGGTCAACACCTCCCCCACCCCCCCCCTCCCACACCACTGAAATCACATATCCCCCTGCAGACTCTCTTGCAGAGCCTGGGCACGTGCCGGCACCTGCAGTTTCAGCAGCCCCCGAGCCTCATACCGCCGAACCATCTCGTACGATAAACCCATCTTAGCTGCGATTTGCCGGAGGGTTAAGACCTCCCCCACGCCCTCACCGTCCTTGCCGCCCAGCCCAAAGCGCCACCTCAGCACGGTGGCCTCGTGAGGGTGTAGCGTGTCGAGCTGTGAGCGTAGGGGAGAAAACAAGGAAAGTCGGAATAAGTAAGAGAATGCAAAGCCCATAAAGCACCACCACCTCAGCACGGTGGCCTCGTGTGGGTGTAATGTGTCGAGCTGTCATTGCAGGGGAGGAAAGGAGAGGCGAATTTATAAATGAGAAGTTAAAGCCAGAAAGAGAAACACCACCTCAGCACGGTGGCCTCGTGTGGATGTAGCGTGTCGAGCTGTCATTGCACGGGAAGGGAATGAGGAATAACGTATGTTAGCTTAAAAGAACGGGGAAAGGTTTAAACCTTTGCCTTCAGTTCATTGGCTTGTTCTGACGACATGTCCTCACATGTGGTCATGTGCCTTACCTTGTTATTGTCATATGCTACATTTTGTCTTCCTGTGCTCTTATGGGTGTTCAGAACCAAGCTGCACACTGCAAACCCGCCACACCACTGCCACCACTGCTTACCATCCCCGCCCTCCATCCCACGCCCTATTGCTCCAACCCGTCTACACCTCTCCCACAACTGCTTACCACGGCAACAAGGGCTGCTCGTGTGTGCCCCAATGCACCTCCCTGCACACTCAAGCTGCTACCCACATGCTGGAGTTACCTGTAGGGCCTTCCATCGCACGCCCAGCCACACCAGTGACACCACCACCACTAACCTGACAAGCCCTGCATACAGCACGCTGTCACACCTCTCCCACAACTGCTTACCACTGCAACAAGGGCTGCTCGTGTGTGCCCCAGCGCGCCTCCCTGCACACTCAAGCTGCTCCCCTTGCTGCTGCCAATACCTGGAAAGTCCTACATCCAACAGTCTGTCCCACCACCACCAATGCTTACCACTGCAACAAGGGCTGCTCGTGTGTGCCCCAGCGCGCCTCCCTGCACACTCATGCTGCTCCCTTTGCCGCTTTCAGCGCTGACACCACCACCACTGCCGCCACCAACAGCAGCAGTTGCAGAAGCAGTCCCAGCAGTAGCAGCACCAGCACCAGCAGCAGTTGCAGCAAGAGCAGCACCAGTAGTGGCAGGGGCAGAAGCGATCAAACCACCCTCACCACCATCTATACTCGCTATAGTGTCCTCCAGTGCAAGCCCTGTGACCCGCGACGCGGCGTGCAGGGAGACGGGGCGGGTGACGAGAGGGGCGGCAAGGGCGGCACGGCACTGGGCGGCAGAGAGGCCGGCCTCTGCCGCCACTTCTGCTACAGTGGCTTTACGGCCCACCCGGTTTTCCACAGCTGCTCTTGCCTTGCGCACTGAAATGAGGGTCTGTGGAAGGGGGGAGTGGGAAGAAGGGACGCATGCACAATGTGAGACTGTTACGAAACGCTGTGTGCGGTAACCACTGTGTGCGGTAACCACAAGGCCACCCTTTGCCGCCACTTCCGGTACAGTGACCTTGTACGGCCTAGACGGTTCTCCACTGCTGCTCTTGCCTTGCGCACTGAAATGAGGGTCTGTGGATGGGGGAAAAGGTGATCGAGGGGAAGAGGAGGGGGGGAGAGAGGGGGGTGGGGAGATGCTTTTTAAGATGAGGGAAAGAGTGTGGAACGGAAGCAACTTGAGAGAGCTTCGAGTCATGATGTGCATGTGCAAGACACGAGTTGCTTCTGCCTTCACACCCTCACACCCACACACCCTCACGCACTCACCATGGAGCTCCGAGCAGGCATGTGGACAAACTGGGTAGAAGGAATGGCGCGAATGATGGCTCTTCGGACAGCGTTCGTGGCGAAGGTGGAGAAGCTCAGCTTCCTGGCGGGCTCAAAGCGGCCAGTCTCCATTACAATACCCTCACAACACCCCCACAACACCCTCACAAGACCGTCACACACTCACCATGGAGCTCCTAGCAGGCATGCAGACAAACTGGGTAGAAGGAGTGGCGCGAATAATCGCGGAGCGGACAGCATGGGTGGCGAAGGTGGAGAAGCGCAGCCGCCTGGCGGGGTCAAAGCGGCCAATCTCCATTACAAGACCCCCACAAGACCCCCACAAGACCCCCACACACTCACCATGGAGCTCCGAGAAGGCATGCGCTCGAACTGCGTCGACGGAGTAGCACGGATAATCGCTGTCTTGACAGCATGTGTGGCGAAGGTGGAGAAGCGCAGGCGCCTGGCGGGGTCAAAGCCGCCCACCCCCCCACAGCACCCCCGCAACACCCTCACGCACTCACCATGGAGCTCCGAGCAGGCATGCGCACGAACTGAGTGGACGGAATAGCGCGGATAATCGCCGTGCGAACTGCATGCGTGGCGAAGGTGGAGAAGCGCAGCTTCCTGGCGGGGTCAAAGCGGCGGGCAGCTGTGGTGAGGCCTTCTAGGCCACGCTGGCAGACAGCTATAAAGTCGGCTCCCGTGGAGAGGCGGAAGGAGTGGGCGATGGAGAGCACGAGGCGAAGGTTGTGCTGCAATCGAAGCACAAGGTATAAAGGGATGGGAGGAAACGAACAGGAATGTGAGGTGAAGAGGTGAGGCCTTCTAGGCCGCGCTGGCAGACAGCGATGAAGTCGGCTCCCGTGGAGAGGCGGAAGGAGTGGGCGATGGAGAGCACGAGACGCAGGTTGTGCTGCAAGACAGTGGGGATGTGGGAAGAAAAGGGGGTGGGGGAATGAGGGGTTGAAAACGAAAAGGGATAGGAGGCCGTGGTGAGGCCCTCTAGGCCGCGCTGGCAGACAGCGATGAAATCGGCTCCCGTGGAGAGGCGGAAGGAGTGGGCGATGGAGAGCACGAGACGAAGGTTGTGCTGCGACAGGTGGGGGAAAAGGCAAAGGGGAGGGGGGAAGGAGAGGAGGGGAGGGGAGGGGTGGGGGAGGGGGGACGTCTGTTGTGAGGAAGTGAGCAGGGAACCGAAGCAGTGGTGAGGCCCTCAAGACGGCGCTGGCAGACAGAGTTGAAGTTCCCTGTTCCCCGTCTTGAGGGCCCTCTTGAAGTCAGCTCTCCGGTGGAGAGGCGAAAGGAGTGGGCGAGTGAGAGCACGAGGCGCAGGTTGTGCTGCAAGTGAGTGGGAAGCGGGGGAGAAGGTAGGGAGAAGGGGGGGTGGGGAAGTGAGGGGTTTGAAGCGAGCAGGGGGTTGAGGCCGTGGTGAGGCCCTCAAGACAGCGCTGACAGACAGAGTTGACGTCTCCACTCTCCGGCGGAGAGGCGGAAGGAGTGGGCGATTGAGAGCACCAGACGAAGGTTGTGCTGATGGCGGATTGTGGAAGAGGGGTGGGTGAAAGCTAGGAAACAGGGGGAAGACTGTGGGAGGACACACCAGGGAAAGAGGGAAAGAGGGTGGTAGGGAGGGCACAGAGGGGCAGACGGATATGAGGATGTTTTCTGTGCTAGGGTATTTGGCATGAAGCCTAAAAGGAGGTGCACGAAATCTGTGAAATGCATTCATCGGTGCTGGAACCTGGGAGCGTGTGAACTTAACGCGGTGAGGAAACACCCCACTGCATTCACCAGAACCGCACTGCTGAACCCAGCAGTATCACTCTGCACCCACCATTCCCATTCTGCAGCACTCACCAGAACTAGCTTGGTTCGGGCAGCCTGAGCGGCGAGCAGTTGTCGGTGCAGCTGCTTGGGAGTCAGATTGCAGAGCGCCGCCCACTCCGCATGCGACAGCACATGGCGCTGCCCCTGCTTCTGTTCCGCACGTGCAATGCTTCCTCCTGCTTCTGCTTCCCCTTCCCCATCTGCATATCTATCTTCTCCATTCCCGCGCACATCAGCGTATGCTTGGGTGACCTCGTGAGCAGCTTTCACCTCCTCACGAGCAGCTGAGGTTGCTGCCACTGAACCAGAGCCCTGTAAAGAGTCCACACGTGCGGGCCTGGCTGAGGTTGCAGCGGTCTTAGCTCGCTCTTCGAGTTCCTGTAAAGAGGATACACAAGGGGGTGTGTATGAGGAGGGGAAGTCTCGCGATGTGTCAAAAGGGATGGTGAAGGAAGCAAAGGAACAGCTCTAGGAGGAAATGTGGGAGGCTTAGTTCGTTTGATTTGAAGCTGAGATTAGCTGCTGTAGTGATGGAGATAGTTGTAGTCATGCTACTTGATCTGGCCCAATCATCACTAGTCGTCACGTCACACTATCCCACTCCTTTTATAAGTCACACTTTTGCGCTGAAAATTTCACTCACGTTCCCGCGCTGTATCAGTTCCGCCAGTCTAAGCTCCTCTTTCGCCGGCAGTAACGCGCGCTGCTGTGTCCAATCAACGTTCATCGCTGTATCGCCCCCGCCATAGTCACGAATCAGCGCATCCACCTCCTCCTCGCTCATTGCGTTCCCACCGGCCGCTCCCCCGCTCGCGGAACCTCTTCCCGCTCCGCCACTTCCCCTTACGCGCGGGGAAGCTGAAACGGCTTCCGTTTCCGATTCCAGTTCCGCTTCCGCCTGCCCATCTTCCGCCATTCCCAGCGCGTTTCCGCTCATCCGCAGGCCCATCGCGAGGGCAGCTGCGCGCAACCTCCTCCGCATCGCCCGCCTCCGCGCTGCAGGATCAATTTCCGCCATGCTTCCGCCCGCATCTGTTTCCCCCTCCGCCACCCCCCCTGCTGGCAGCTTCGTCGCAGAAGCGGACAAGAACCGCCGCCCTCTGACAGGTTTCCGCCTGGCGCCCCGTAAGGCGTCGCTGGGGCTGAGATTCCACGCGGCCTCGAGCTGCGCGCGCACTTCCCGCGTGACTTCTAGCCGCGCCGCGTCGCCGTCATAATCGTTTTCTGAGCTCTTCGATGCCTGCGACGACGGCGACGACGGCGGCGACGCCGATTCCGCGTCGTCCAGTCGCACAAGGAACGCTGCGACCTCTGCGACGAGCGAGAGACCCGTCGCAGAGGGGTCGACCTTCATGAAAGGAGTAGCAGCATCAGCAGTATCATAAGCATTAGAAGCACCATCTCCCTGCTGGCCTGATAAGCGCTTTAGCAAATCTTCACCGGTTAAGGCCAATTCGTCTGGGTTCGAACCGGTCCTGCGCTTTCTCTGCCTTCTCGTTCTCTTCTCCCAGGAATCAGCAGCTGCTACGGTGCTAACGCTCGTCGGCGGCGGCTCGAGTAAAACGGCCGCGGCGACCGGCGATACGGCGGCGGTCCGCATGGCGGAAGAGAGCGAACGATACTGAAAACTGTAGCCATAATGATTCTTGGGATACCCTATTAGAGCGGTTCTAGGCGGCTCGGGTCTCAGACAGTTTCTGTGGCTGACTCTGAAGCCGCCGGATTTTCCGCCGCCGATCAAGGATAGGCTATGCTTAATCGCGATTCGATGATGACGTGACCGCGAGGGCTTGAGCGCGGAGGAGAATGCGACTGGAGAGCTCGACGCGGCCATGAGGGAAGCTTGGGGAGGTTGTGGCTGGTGCTGACGTTGGTCTCGACTTCACTCGAGAACTTCAGAGAGAAACCACAGAAACAAGGCAGAGAGGCATGGCTCGCAATTCCAGAAGGCTGTAATCACAAACGAAATTTGAGATGGCGGCGAGGCTTGTGAGAGGTGCGCAGTGTCGTTGCTGTTTTCGTGTGGTCCAAAGAACCCCACAACTGCAGCTAATTTATCTCTGACGACACCCGGTAGGTGACTGAACGAGGCGGAGAGTTACGATGCGGTACGCGAAGTTGTAGAACGACAAAATTCGGTTCCACGAGAAATCAAGGTAATGTTTTGTCTTGTGTTCAGGCGTCAGGCTCCTGGAGAACGATTACGATTTCTGCCCGTTGCGGATTGGTGGACATGACTCCGCGCTGCGATGGTGGCATTCTCGAAGTGCTCGAGGCGGCGTGGCGAAAAGCCCGATGGACACGCAAGCCGAACGGTGCAAAGTGCAGATGAGCTGACCTGGATATGACGAGGCACGAGGTGCGGATTCGATGAAAGCAGCTTTGATTGTGTGGCGCGAAGAGTCTTCAAGGATGTTGTGGACATCTTCAGCCAATCCAAGCGCGTCGTTTCAGACATTACCTCAGCCCCTAGACTCGAAAGCCTCTTTCCAGCAACGAAATAGGTTTAGGCAAGGTTACATGGCAACAACGCAACCTTGCGAAAATAGTCAGAACCTGAATAAAAAGAAGTTCGGATAAATGACAACAATCCTACACTATTTTATGCGATATCTAGCAAGCTACCTTGCCCAGTCCCCAAGAAGGGAACTTACTAGCATAAGCAGTTGTCCTGGTCATCCTGCACGCTAATTTCCCCTCCAACTCCCACTCTCCCCACTCATTATAATTAATTTCCTTCCTGGTACTCCGTAGGCCCTCCACTCACACTCTCTTCCTCCAATCCCATCCTCTCGAGAGCAGCCAACAGCCCCTTGCTCAGAGGCCGCTCCCTTACAATCCCCCGTCCTCCCTCCATTCCCTTCACATCCCCCTCTCCCTCCTCCTCCGCCTCCTCATCCTCCGTCCGTCTCAACGCCCACCCGCCCCTCCGCCTGCTCCCAGGCGTTCCAACGTTGACTAGCGTGGACCAAGGTGGAGAATCCCCACCACTTCTTGACCCGCGTTGACTTGCTGGTGTGCGTAACGGAGTGCTGACACCACTGCCAGCGCCGATACTACCACCAACGGCTGGAATCTCATCCTGATAGCGAGAAACTGGCGGCGCGCCGTGGTCAGGGGCGGGGGAGGAGAGCGGCCGCGGGCTGCGCGCCCGGCGCATGGGGGAGGGGGAGCGGGGGCGCAGGACGCGCGGCCCTCCCGTTCCAGCGGCGGCGGAGTTAGGGGCGCGACGGCTTGCGGGGGGAATGCCCGCGGTAAGCGCGGGGGAGGAGAGCTGGGAGGCGAGTGAGGAGCGGAGGCGGCGGGTCGTGGTTGCGGAGCCCCCTTCATCAGCAGCATCGTAATGACGTTGCTGTGAGCCACGATGCTGCTGCACGGACCAGGGCACAGGAGATAAGCAAGAACGAACGGTCAGACTGGATAACAGGAAAACCCACTAGAAACAGGGGAACTTTGGGATTGCGCTAATCCGCTAATTACTTTAATCGATTTTAATTCCATGCTCGCTCACCTCGCGAATAGCGTTAATAGCAGCTAGCAGTCCCGCGGGGTCCTTCCCCAGCACAGCGCCGATCTTTCCGCCAACCTGCCACTTGGCGCGGCTCCGCCTACCCGTTCCGCCTTCCGCCAACACTCCCCCCGCGGAACCCGCCACACCGCCGATCGACGACGTGGAGCGGGGAATGGGGGACCTAGCGCGCGGGATGGGCGAGGTGGCGCAGCGGACGAGCGCGGGAGCGGGAGCGGGGGCTTCTTCGGGTGAGTTGTGCGGCGTGGGGGCGGCGTAGAGGCTCAACGATGACGTCAGCGTCGCCGAGCCCTTAACGGCGGACATGACGGTAGGCGAAGCAAGAACGGCTGCTCTGCGACGACGGAGAGGAGTCACTGCCTGCGGAGTATGGTCGCACGAGTCGCACAAGTCGAGGTGTGCGAAACCTTCACCGCTGCCGCCACCGTCGCCAGCAACATCGCCATACGTCGCAGAGATCGGTTCCTGGATGCTGAAGCAGCGCTGGATGGTGTGCTGCCTCGTCAGCGACGCCTGCCTGCACGGCGATGGGCTGACGTCATTCCAACTCGGCATGCTGCTTTGCCTCGTCAGCTTCGACCTGCTCTTCGCGACAATCTCGGGGGTATCCTCCTGGCACGGCGTCGAGAGCAGCAGCTTCGAAACCTCGCACCGGAGAGCTTCAGCGCCGTCGTCATGCGCACCCTCACCGGATTCGACCAGTCGCGATCCTTTAGAAGTCAAAGGTGCAGGAGTGCACGGATCAGCAGGCACGACAGGTGGCTTCGAAGGAAGCACAGCGGCAGGAGGAGTAGGCAAACCTGGAGTAGGCTTGCTGGATGCAGTGAGATCAGCTGACGTGTCGTTGGTGACGTCAGATAGAGCAGGTCGCGGACGAGGATTTCTCGCAGGCTGTCGCTTAGCAGTTGCAGGCTTTCGTTGTGTCGGCATCGGTGTCGTCGTTCCTGCAGGGAAAAATGGCCGAATAGTATTGATCTGGACGACGAGGCTTCACACAGGAAAAAGAGAACTAGCGGAATGAACAGAAGGCGAAAAAGGATAAGCGAAGCGGTCAGCAGATGCTGCTAACCTGGCGGGACGGGACTGGAGAACAACTGAGCTCGGGCCCTGCTGCGAGTGCGCACGCCAAGTACGGGCGTATCGTTGGCCATCGCAGCTACTGTCTCTTATGATGAATGCTCGTGAACGTCGCGAGAAATTCTTTCGTCACTAACAGACTCAATCACAACTGAACAAAGTTAGGAGAATTCTAGTTAACCCTAAAACTACCCTTAACAGAAAGAACCTGGATTCAGAATGAGCAACTACTACTAGGCAACTGCCAGACAGAACGAGGCAAGGGCTGAGGTCTTATGAATGAGCAAACGCGAGTCCTAGTATTCAAGCAAAGTGACCTAGTCGCAAACCTGAATGGCTGCGATGGAATCCTGAGGTGCACCAAGATGGAAGGCTGAAGCACCCAGGCGTGGGACGGACAACAACGAATTTCTACTCGTGCTATTATGACCGTTAGATTTTGATTCCGCGAATGGACTCAAATTATATGGACGGCCACGATCAGTTTCCTGCGTTTATGGATGCAGGGAAAGACTGCCTGATGGTTTGTTTTGCCGCCATGCCGTTTGAATTTGAAGCGAAAGCGGATTCATTCCCCGCCGCGCGCGCTGCGACGAGTTCAGAAAACGGCTCAGACCTCCAAGAGAGAGAATTACTCCAGAACCTGGATTGGTGATTCGTCCTTGCTCGCGTGGCATCGAATTACTCGAGTGGCCACCAAATTTGGTGATAATTACTCGAGTGGCCACTCCAGGGAATTCCTGCTGGCTTTGTTTTTCCCGGCGCATTACCCTAAGGAGGTTTTTAGCCCCGAAATGCACCGTTCGCACGAGTATCATCCCGCAATAGTGTTTGTTACTAGTCCCCACCTGAAATTTCGCCAGGGTGGCGGGCGCAAACGTGGCCCGCTCACTGTACAAGAAACCGACAAATATTCCGACCAACAGTAGTTGCGCGATCAATTTCGGCCACATGCGCGACCAATGAGCGCTGGGTCAAACAAACACGTAACCAATCAGCGATCGAGCATGTTACTTCCCGATCATATACTGAAATTGACCCGCTTCAAATCGCAACACCCCTAATGCATGTGCTTCTTTATGATCGGTCAGTTTCAGTTTATGATCGGGAAGTAATATGCTCGATCGCTGATTGGTTACGGGTTTGTTTGACCCAGCGCTCATTGGTCGCGCATGTGGCCGAAATTGATCGCGCAACTACTGTTGGTCGGAATATTTGTCGGTTTCTTGTACAGTGAGCGGGCCATGTTCGCACCCGCCACCCTGGCGAAAATTTCGGGTGGGGAATAGTAAGAAACACTATTGCCGGATGATACTCGAGCGAACGCTGCATTTCGGGGCTAAACACCTCCTTAGGGTAATGCTCCGGGAAAGAAAAAGCCAGCGGGAATCTCCTGGCGTGGCCACTCGAGTAATTATCACCAGATTTGGTGGCCACTCGAGTAATTCGATGCCACGCGAGTAAGGACGAATCACCAATCCAGGTTCTGGAGTAATTCTCTCGACCTCAAACATACGAAATTTGGAGAATCCTTCTGGCCAGTTTTGCAGAAATAACCAGCCAGCCACGCTCTAAGGAAATTTCCCTAATTCCTTACTCAGACACCTTATGCGCGTACAACTCCACCTTTCGGAGATCAGGCTCGGTCCGATGACCTCGCCTTCCGAACGTCCCTCGCGTCGCCTTCGGATTTCCCAACCCCAAACCTACACCCGACCTTGCGCGGTCCCGCTGCCTCGACCTAGCTAGCCTTTGCTATATTAGTGCCCTGACTCATTATTTCGACAGACGTTGTAATCAATTCCGCGTTATTGCATTCTGCGCACTCTTCTCTTTTACAACGCATAACACTTGGTATCAGAGCTACTTTCCTAGGTTACCCTCGCGTTTCTGGGGTAGTTTAGTGACGGGGTGCGATAGACTTGGTGGGCTGCAAAGCGGCCAGCTGCGAAATAGATACGATTATTTCGCTCCGACTACGTTTGCGTTTGCGCCTTCATGAAAGTCATGAAAATCGTTGTAAACCCCCTGCCCGTCAAGCGAAGCCTGAGACACATGGAGCAGGCCGAGCTCAACGAGTTCATGCAACAGTTCCGGGCGATGCAAGCCAACTTGCATACCATGTCTGCCAAGGTGGAACGCCTGAGGGGAGAAAACGCCAAACTACGCCAGACGCGAGGTGAAGCGCGTCAGGAGCCGCCCGTCGTGGATGAAGTGAGCAGTAGCTCATTGCTCAACGAGGCCGTACTCAGCGAGCTACAAGGCTCTTTGGATGCTGAAGATGAATGACGATCGTGGCAGCAACAGGCGCAAGAGGCGCCAGAGCAACAGCAACAGTCGCGAACAGTGCCGAGACGGACACCAGCGACAACACCGGCGATGGCTTCGACGGCACCAATGGTGCATGCGGCAGCAACAGTTTCTACAACGGTCAAGATAAAACCGACAAACCCGCCCCCGTTCAACCTCAGCGACAAGAACGTCACAGTGTCTGCATGGTTGTTCGGCGTGGAGGTTTTCTTTAATGCTTGCTGATGATCCCACCCGCATTAATTTTGCAGTGTCGCTGTTACGAGGACCGGCGTTGGAGTGGTGGCGACGCACACTACAGTCAGAGGGGACTCCGGCAGGGATATCACGTGCAAACGACGGGACCTGGGCATCTGTCACGCAACGAGCAACCTCGATCTTCGGAGTGGCTACGATACGCACATGGACGGGGTGGGGTGCAGCCTTGCGAACCAGATTCGAGCACGTATCCGCCTCGGATTCTGCTCGCATGAAGCTGCGTGCCTGGAAGCAGTTGACTTCAGTCCAAGACTACACAGCGACGTTCTGCGCCTTGGCCGACCAAGTGGACGACATGGGTGACGCGGAGCGGCTCGACAAATACGTCGCAGACCTCAAATACGAGATTCAGTTCGAGGTGCGACGTACGAGGCCACACGACTTCAACGATGCCGTCCAGCTGGCCGAATCAACGGACGCGCTGATGCAGTGGGCAAGAATGAGTTCCCGGGAGGGAAACCGTTTTCGTGGACCGCCTCAACAGCCCACAATATACGGTGTGGATGCACCTAGACGTGCCCCAAACACGTGCTTTAACTGCAACCAACCGGGCCAATGGAGGAAAGACTGCCCGAAGCTGAAGCAGGGAAACAGGAACGACGGAGAGGGGTCGGGAAAAGAGACGAGTCAGTAGCAGTCGGGCCACCTACTGACGAGACCCCGTTGCCCCGCAATCACCATCCACACCGAGTAGTGGTACCGATACGGGCTATCGACCGCAACCGGACGAATAAAGTGGATGAACGCGTGGATCACCCTGTGCTGGTCGTGGGGAGGGTTAACTGTCATAAAATAATAATATTCGTTGACGGTGGGGCGAGCCACAGTCTCGTCAACCTGGCAACGGCAAAAAAAATCGGATTCAAGCTGGACAGGTGTCTGCCAGAGATCGATGCAAGGCTGGTGGACGGGACACCGCTGGCGATACGGGACGAGGTGCGACAAATTCGGATGGAAGTGTGGCGACGATTTCGGGTTTTCGATGAAGATGCTGGCGACAACGCTGGAAGGTTGCGATGTGCTGCTGGGGCGAGATTGGCTGCAACAATTCAATCCGACGATCGATTGGACGACGGGAGCATGCACGGTTCTGAGCAACAAGGGACGTGTGACGCTTCCGAAATTGACGGGGCCGGAGCCGATTACGACATGTGTCAACGCGATTACGCTGACAAGGGCGATAAAAAGGGGAGCGCAAGGCTACGCCGTACAGCTGTACGAGGTGGTTGCGTCCGAGAAAATCGCCGACATTGACACGCTCTGCGCTGCTGAACCTGACGACGTGGCGAGCATAATTCGGAGGTACCCCGAAATTCGCGGATGACCTGCCTGATGGGCTGCCACCTCACCGGCCAGAAGATCACAAGATCGAGTTGGAGCCTGGCGCACAACCAGCTGTTCGGTCCCAGTGGCGGCTCAGCCAACCGGAACATGACGAGTTGCGGAAGCAGTTGGATTATCTGCTCTCGAAAGGTTTCATCCGGCCGAGCACGTCACCATTCGCCGCCCCAATACAATTCACACCGAAAAAGGACGGAGGCCTGAGCATGTGTATCGACTATCGAGCTCTGAATCGGATCACGGTCAAGTCACGTTACCCGATTCCGCGAGCGAACGACCTGCTGGATCAGCTTCGCGGGGCTCGTTTCTTCTCAAAAATTGATTTGCGAGGTGGCTACCATCAAATTTGTGTGTTCGCCAACGACTGCCCGAAGTCGGCTTTTCGCATCCGCTACGGCAATTACGAGTATACAGTGATGCCGTTCGGGTTGACGAACGCGCCCTCGACGTTCCAGCTCACCATGAACGGGGTGTTTCAGGATATGCTCGACAAAAAAAGTTATCGTTTACCTGGACGACATCCTGGTGTACAGCAAGACTCGGGAGGAACATTTACGGGATTTGGAGGAGGTGTTCCGGAGCTTGCAGCAGAACCGACTGATTACGAAAGGCTTTAAGTGTGAGTTCTAACAGCCAGAGCTGGAGTTTCTGGGGCACGTGGTTTCCGGGGAGGGTATTAAAATTGACCCTCGCAAAGTGACAGAGATTTCTCAGTGGAAGCCGCCTACGAGCATCACGGAGTTGCCGAGTTTCCTCGGCTTCGTTAAGTACGTCCGCCGTTTTGTACATTTTGAGTTCACCCCCGGTTCTTCGGCTGGCAGATCCTGTCAGAATAGTGAAGGAAGGAATGACTGAACTAGCAAGCAGGTGGGTACAAGTAGGAAACCTAAAAGTGTTGTACCCTATATGAACTACCCCACTACAGCCTACACAGACTATAGCAT